ATCATAGTGGACGATACAAGAACTGTGTGCAGTTTAAACATCCTTGTAGAAAACCCTTGTAGTAAAGTAAATACGTAGAAGCCTGTGTGATATTGGCCATATTATCAATCATATGCCCATCACTGTCAATCAGCAAGTCTTTTAGATAATGTCGCTTTCTTCACGGCGCCTCCAAGTATCAATTTCCCTAGCAAGCTCTCCAGCCCCATATGCTTTCACTTAGGGCTGTACCGAATAGTGATTTTCACTATTCGGCCGAATACGAATAGCTGGACCAACTATTCGGCCGAAGACGAATACGAATAGTGAATCATCATCATGTGCTTTGCCGGCTGGCATGGGCGATTATGCCTCGCCACAATCTGCGATCTCCTGCAGCACGTATTAGTTCGTGTGCTGACACACCTCCATGAAAAACCTTCGTTCCATGTTGTCAGCATTAGGCCAGCTTTTTGTCTCACTGAAGGTATTTCCAGCTGTACTAAACGGAAAAATACGACAAATACAGAGAGTCAAAATGAAAACCCGCAAGGCGAAACATCAAAAACAAAAATAACACCGAGGAAGAAAACAATGCCGTCCTCACAAGTCGCCCAGCCCCCCGCGAGCTCACGAAACCAGACGCCGGGCGGCCAACGTCAGAAGATCAAACAACAAAGACAATCAAGAAACCGATCGTCGATCAAAACATTCAGCCGCCGCCGTTTCCACGAGACGACAAAAGAACAGATATGACACCCATAAATGATGACGAACTCCCGTTACTTCAAAGAATCAACGAAGAGGACACTCCACTCAAAGAAATCAAGCCGACAACACTATCATCATCATTGTGGTGCACAAAGAAAACGCTTCACAGTATAAACCAAGGTGGGAAGTCTTGATGTTGTTTTTCCACCAGTCCAGAAACGGTTGTGAGGTAACCACTATTCGTATTCGGCCCGACCGCAACAATTCGGCCGAATACCGAATAGTTATTGGGTCCACTATTGGGCCCCGAAGCGAATACGAAGCAAATTTTCGGTACAGCCCTACTTTCAATAACAATGCATCTTCAGTGTCCTGTGTCCATTTTCGCGAGGTCGACCCCTGCTTCCATTCCCACACACTGCTCCCTCCATCGATGTCTTTTCCAGGCCACCATAACATTTGATGTGTCCGAAATACTTCAACTTTCTGGACACGAGTCTGTTTATGAGCCAGTTCTCCTTCCTTTACGTTTAACCCATGTAGAATGTCGATGTTTTATCTCTTCTTGATGAATGGTATTCTTAGAATTTTTCTTAGCATTTTAAAACAAATCTTCCTCATTGATTGAATGAGAGTAGTCCACGGTTCACAATCGTAATTTGCCAAAGGAAAAATGCACAGTCTCAATGCTTTAAATCTAACTAATTCACAGGTGCTTTGCCATAGGTTCTGCTTGTTTGATCTCCGCATTGCTGATGCAAGCATTCTTTTGACTTCTTTCGAGCAGTCTCGACTGCTGTTCATTAAAAAGCCCAAATGTTCAAAATCTGTGACATTTTCTATTTCTTCATTTTCAACTGTTATTTGTGGTTGGTGTGTTAAGGAAATTATTTTTTTTTTTTTAAGGAAAAGATGCATATGCCGAACAGTATACTAAAATACTCACGTAGCTCAAAAACGCAGAAAAGCCAATGACGTGAAAGGAGTCATTTACTTTTTGTTTTTAGATGTCTCTATGCCTGCTATAAAGCCAGTAAATTGACAGCAGGCAAGGACTGAAACCATTTTAAACAATCCACTAACAACCAAAAAAAAAAAAATATTGATTTAACCTTTCTGGTACAACCTTCAGAAGAAAGCGACCATGCATGCATACATACATACATTAACACATACCTACCCACCTACACACACACCTACACACACACCTACACGCAAACCTACACGCACACCTACACGCACACCTACACGCGCACACCTACACGCGCACACCTAAACGCGCACACGCACGCGCGCACACACACACGCAAACACACACGCACACGCACGCGCACACACACGCGCACACACGCGCGCACACACACGCGCGCACACAAGCGCGCGCACACGCGTACACGCACGCGCGCACACACATACACACACACATACACACACATACACACACATACACACACATACATACACACACATACACATACACACACATACACACACACATACACATACACACACATACACACACACATACACACACATACACACATACACACACACATACACACACACATACACACATGCACATACACACATACACATACACACATACACACACATACACACACTCATAGAATCATACAATCATACAATCATACAATCATACATTCATACATTCATACATTCATACGTACGTACGTACGTACGTACGTACGTACATACGTACATACGTACATACATACATACATACATACATACATACATACATACATACATACATACACACATACACACATACACACACACACACACACACACACACACACACACACACACACACACACACACACACACACACACACACACACACACACACACACACACACACACACACACACACACACACACACACACACACACACACACACACACACACACACACACACACACACACACACACACACACACACACACACACACACACACACACACACACACACACACACACACACACACACACACACACACACACACACACACACACACACACACACACACACACACACACACACACACACACACACACACACACACACACACACACACACACACACACACACACACACACACACACACACACACACACACACACACACACACACACACACACACACACACACACACACACACACACACACACACACACACACACACACACACACACACACACACACACACACACACACACACACACACACACACACACACACACACACACACACACACACACACACACACACACACACACACACACACACACACACACACACACACACACACACACACACACACACACACACACACACACACACACACACACACACACACACACACACACACACACACACACACACACACACACACACACACACACACACACACACACACACACACACACACACACACACACACACACACACACACACACACACACACACACACACACACACACACACACACACACACACACACACACACACACACACACACACACAGTGATCTTACTAAAGAGCTATGCTTTAAAAACATATTTGAGTTATCAAATTTCCTTCTCAATATGAGTCGCATTTTGGGGGAGGGGGGGGGGGTTGTTATTTTAAAGCCCCGTCCAGACTGTCGTTGAGGACCCTAAATAGAACCTAACGGTTGAACGGGGTTTCTCTTACGTGCGCCCAGGTGTTTATCGCTTGGTGTGAGGTCCTGATAAAGTTGACCTTCAGTCACTCAGTCAAGAACTTATTCAGCTTTTTGGATGCAAATGAATTAACTTTCAATTGAAACAATACAGTATTTTTACCCCCCCCCCCCCCCCCCCCCCCCCCCTCTGTAAGAGCATGGATGGCGACTAGAAGATTCGGCAACTATAGCGAGATGTGTTTCACTTCTAAATGACCTTATCTTTCTCTTTTGGCCTGCTTCTTAGGCTGATAAAGACTTCTGTTGTAAGACACCTATATGTCTGTATGTCTTTTATGTTCACATCATTATGTCTCCTACTTTCCGATATAAAATGTATTTCCTGGGATGCATCTACTGTGGTATGTTTAACAAAAGTCAAAGAAGACTTCCATGTGTTTATAAAATCAGTCTGTTTAAACAAAAATATTAAAATCAAAAGAAGATCCTCACTGGGAGATTGGTCTAGTTAATTTTTAGCACCTTTTTTATGTCCTGTAATCTTACGTTTCGTTCGATTTACGAAACTTGTCAATCGAAGTCATAATTCGTTGCTAGAGCTAGGAATTCGTGTTGCGAGAATGTAATATGAAGTAATTTACAAAAGCAATGTTATAGCCTTGTATCCTAATAATACTTTGTTAAGCATGTCAAGAGTGGTAAGCACATGTTATCACGGCGCTGACGAACACAGCAACGTCATAATGACCATTCGCCATTCAAAGATAGCCGACTCACTTATGACATGAAACCAAATAGGAGCAGTCTGGTGAGGAGGGATGGCGACATTCCTTGCTTGTTTTGTTCGTTTAAAGCCCCACTGTGTTAATATGCTGGTAGCCGTTCAGACTCAGTTTTTTGTGTGTGTCTGTTCTCTTCTCAAACCCCTCTCCCTCTCCCCGCTCAGTTTTTAGAACAAAAAGCTCTTTATTATGGTTTAGTTTAGTTTAGTTTTTTTAATAGACTTGTGAAGTTTCTTCTTTCAAGAAACAAAATTAGATGAGATAAATCTTCTGCATCGTAGGCGATACTTTTTCGTTAATTACCCCTGTTGATCTGAAGGGTGTTGAAATAACACTTTTTTATTATCTGAGCCCATAAGTCAAGCAACGAATAGTAACACTACAAACTACCATGCACGTCTTAGGCGACTAAGGATAGTTGTTGAAAAATTTTCTAACCCCATTCTGCACAAATCTTCAGCTTTAAAATGTAAGAAATTATAAACAAATCTACAAATGTTTTAGTGAAAAATGGTTGCGGTTTCTGTGATCCACTGGAAAAAGAAATACAGGAAGAAGATAACAAATTCAACAACAGAGAATAAGCCAGAAATATTTTTTTTTTTTTTGGTTTTTTTCCCTTCCATGACTGCAGCTTAAAAGATTTAAAGCTTCAGAGGGCCACAATTTGATGCGAATCAAACAGGAATAAAACCAAGAAACCGCGGTAACATTTAAAGAGTGATTTTTTGGGGTGTACTGTGATAACTATGTAACTTGTTGACCTTTGTAGGAGGATTATAAGTTACTCTTTGTTGAGAACTTAGAATGTATTGTTACTACATGTGATTTTTTCAGGTACGTTAACTGCAGGCCTGTCCGTCCTTTGCTGCTCGCAAGTTCGCCCCAAAGGAGACTCCAAAGGACATTGTATTTTGATCAACGCGGGCGTCGGTCTACTGCAGTTCCTGTTGACGTTCGTGTTTCTCCTGGGCTGGATTTGGAGCATCATGTGGGGAGTAGCCTTTCTGGCAATGTCCAGTAAGTACTGTTAATCTTGGAATAGTTATTTGTATTTCACAGAGGTTTAAACAGTGGTGCAGCGTAGATGTAAAGGCTGTAAATGCCGATATACTTTATTTTTATTGCCAAAGAACCTTTTTTTATTTTGAAATATTTATTATTTGCCTTTTGCTTTTGATCACAAATACGCAAGTCGGTTCACGTCTCAAACATAATGAAAATAACGTTCAATGCAATGCTTACTCAACTCATGCAGAAGATGGAACGTGTGAAAGCTTCCAGTTACTAGTATTATGACGCTATCTGAGCACACATACTCTCCACAGCGAATCGAGAGAACGAAAAAAATCACGTGATAGCCTCTCGTGTGTAATCTTATCTGCTAAAGGTTAACATGTAAACTGTTCACGAAAAGATATAAAATCAAAGAAAATGTATATCAGCAAGCTTCACAATATAACGAACACAAACAAAACTGAACTTTGCGGCTATGGGGCCTTAGCACAAACATAAATAAAACAACATCAGTCATATACATGCAGTTACTTAGCTTGGTATCTCGACGTGGCCGGGTCAATGTCTTGTCAATAGACTGACTAAACACGTGGAACAGGATAATAAATACCCTCTGAGAATTCCACGGACCGTAAGTGTGTGGGGGGAAAAAAGCGATTTTTAAGAGACTGTTACAGGACTGGCTAGATTTCATGGCTGTCCCCTCCATGTCGTGGGCACCTTGGGATCCTGGGAATTGAAGTGGAACGGTACTGGTTTCCAGGCACTGGTCCGCACATCCAAAAGATGTTGTCCGAACTTTTCGGCCAGTTGTAGACCGGTTTCAGTGATGTATTTCATGCCACATCTCTTGCAGCTTATGGCGTAAATGATATTGCGGCTCGTGCAGTAGAATGCTTCCCATATGTGGAAGGTGACATTCGGGAATTTCCAGACTTGTCCCCTGAACCTCGTGTTGACAAGTCAGGCATATGGAGATGTGGCATGAGATTGCCATTGAAAACTGATTACTGATTATGTAAACTGATTACGCCTCGCAACTGCTTTTAAAATCAAAAGGATCAGCTTGACAGCAGTAGGTTTTAAACTTCTGCAAGAAAAGTCATATCTCAGAGTTGGTGCAGACAAGAAACAACACCTGCCTGAAGCCCAAGGTAGACCTGAGGGTCACAGACTGAAGAGAAGACGGTCTTATATAGCGCAAGCTGAAGACATATGTGCAGGGGTGATAAATTTGGGCAAGGAGAGAAGCAGGTAGGTGTTTCCGAGCAAGAATCAGGCGTGACTTGAGTTCAGGGACTGGCCGGCTGGTGCTGCAGAATCAAAAGTTCAACAAACGATTCATGACAATTTCCGCCTGGTGATGTAATTATCTATACAGATGACTCTGTGTTGAGAGAAAGACGAAGTGCATGGGAGTACATTTCAAAAGCGAATGGACATCGCTTAGTCCGACAAAGCCTGGCATATGATATCACGACGTCAAGCTAAGAATAGAGATGGATGCAGTCACTGCTACCTTCCACTAGATTGAGAATCAGCGGTGCACCCAGGTAGTAATTGTAACTGACTCACAGAGTATGATGAGAAAGATAGAGACAGGCACGCTCGAGGGAGAGTGACAAACATTGTTTCTGAGGTCCCGGGTGGTTAGCGTTTTATGGATATTTTCTCCAGGTGATGCTGGCATTCTCTGCGCCACTTGGTGGTAATTTAGATGTTATGAGGGCCCTTGGGAGTGAATGACCAGAAAGGAGGTACAAATAGATCATTACGGTCTGAGGAGGGTCACGCTGCGAGGAGTTACTAGCTGGCCGACGCTTAACACACAAGGTGAAAGCGAGACCGATACACAATCAGATAGTTACGGGTACCATAGGAATTGGAACTCTTCGCTTCCTCCTAAGGATAAGGACAGATCGTTTATGGGCGTGTCCTGAGTGTTATGATATCGATTTTTAATTCAACATTCAACATACAACACACATGTCTAGGGCGTTCTCTCCGGACCAGTTAACGGTCTGCTCAAAGTGATTCTTCTTGTTCTTCTCGTTCACCGGCTGTAAACGGGCGGAATGTGCTGACTTCGTCCACCTCTGGACTTTAGTCTTGTTCGTGAAATTGAGTACTAGATGCACATCTGTTTTACAGATCTAGCTTATTTGTATGGTTCCTTGCCTCTTCAATAAAATACCCACATATTAGATTCTTACGACATGCTTTTTCGGGAGACGCAGTGGGTCTATTCTTGTTTCTCCCCCACAGTGGGACCCCGGAACATAAACGGGGATGCACAAAATACTAAGTACAAAGCTTAAGTGACGTTCCCCACAATCTCTGACTGAAACAACAATCACTGTTGACCCGAACAAAGCAGACCGAAAGAGATCCTAGGATGTACAGAGCAGGAACTCAACTGTTCAACAGTTTTCTTGCAGAGATCCTACCTAAAATCTTAATGTGATGTCATATTCAGGTGGATTGGCATGTAGGGCATAACTAATATTTTATAGACCAATCGGCTTCTGATGGGTGAGATGTGGTCAGCATCTCGCTGGCTACGTTTACTTCCCAACACACCTGCTACCCACTTTAGGCTGGGTCGACCAGGGAGCCAAGGACATTTTAGAAAGGGGAAAAAAAAAACTGTCTCCGTTAGGACCCAAACCCGCGACTTTCCGATCCGCGGGGAACGTCTAGCCGATGCACCACAGAGGCTGCTATTATTGTGATGTGCTTGGAAAAAAAAATTCTTTTACAGAGATTCCCATGCCCTCATAAAATGCGCACTCCCTTACCGCCCTAAAGTTTCTTGATTTAGACTTTGAAAGGGAAACAAATAATTAAATCTGTTTACTGTTTCGGGATTGAAACCATACTACAGAATTTGGAGGCAGACAGGCGGATTAACCAATAAGTTAGTTCCATGAAGGCATAACGCTAGGATATGTGTTATGGACCTAGACAGAATACAGAAAGACCGGTGGTCATTAAGTAAAATACTCTACACAGATTGCTCTGATTAGCACAGGTTATGTGGAAGCGGAAAACATGTGATTTTATTGACGAACGATAAGAACACTCTGGACAGATAAAACAAGTAATGAAGAAGTTTTGAAAGAAAGTGACACGCGAGGAGATTTGATTGCCCACGCGAGGAGAACTGATTTCCCACATCAGGAGTAGACAATTTGTATTCTTTGGTCACAGTGGGACCTCCGCTATGTTCTTTCCAGTGTTGCCACATTTCTTTGACAAAAAACATCCAAAACGGAGTCAGAAAATATCTTAAAACATCTAAATTTGCGAGGAAAACATCTAGAAAAAAACATCCAAATGGAAAGAGTCACAAATTACATAGCAATTGATATGATTTACCCTATAGAATCATGTCCTCATCTCTATGAAGACTGCCTTTGCGGTTGAAGCTTCAGATCCAAAATGACTATGGTATGCTTTAGCTGTTCCAATTTCTTTTAAAACCCAATCAGGGAGCTGATAAGTTGAACAGCCTTTTCCTGCTCTTATTAGGCAAAATTGTATTGTCAAGATAGCATGTAAGTGGTCAAATTTCATCCTGTTTCTTAGGTGAGATTTGATAAATTAACTCGAAATGAAAAAAATCTAGAAAAACATCTACCATCTAAACGTCAAAAACGCCATCTAAATGCAAGGGGAAATCATCTAAATTTGGATGTAAAACATCCAAAGTGGCAACACTGGTTCTTTCCTGTACAATCATCAGATGGATATCATGGATGGTATTTAATCCAGCAGTTTCGGACGTTCTCATCAATGTTTCTTTTATGGTTTATTTTGGGCCTAAGGGAAATAAACGATGTGCTTAAAATATTATAATCTTTTAAGGCTGCATGTTGTCTGCCCTTAGATTATATTGGTACAAGTTTTTGTTTGCATGCATAAGAAGATAGGCGTGGATTTTTATCCTGGTATGGGGGGTCGCAGGTTGACCCAGTCCAAAATGGGTAACAGGATGACTGTCCTGGGGAAGTAGAGACGGCTGGCGTAATGCTGACTTAGGTAATGCATTACCCACCTCGTGCCGATGGTCTGAAAAATATGGGCGCTCTTCCCATATACACGATGCGCCTAAACGCGTGACAGGGGATCTTTTCTTACTTTCTTGTAAGAAGATAACTGCACACATAAGCTGTGTAGTATGTTCAGCTCGTTTTGTCTAGGTCTATTCACTGTTCTTCTTTAGACCATGTTCCTAGAATGTTCTCATTTGCCCTCTTCTGTAAGTTTACCCTCCAGTTTTACATTTGTCAGTCCATACTCCATTTTTATATTATTTCCTAGAGATAATTACAAAACATCTGAATTTGTATTGTCTAGATACAGGTAGCCTATTCTCTGTACAACTTAATTTTTTTGAAGAGATCTTCATAATGTTTTCATGTGTTCATATGTTCCAGGAACGCCTATATAAAATCCTTTCCCGGCAGCCGCCAAAACATTTCTAACAAACGTGTTTACTGACCCCGATTCATCATAGCAGACCACCTTTACATTCCTTGAATTTACCTGAGACAAATTTAGGCTAGGTAGACCTGTGAGCCAATGTAATTTTATTTAAAAAAAAAATGAATGATAACTTAGTCCTGTCCATTTCTTGATGTTGTCCTTCCAGTTTCTTCTTTGTCCTTCTTTTTTTTCGACTACGCCCCCCCCCCCCCCCCGCCCCCTTCCCCACCCACTTCCACTCCCACACTGTTCCTTAAAGTTCAGTCATTGCAGTGGAGCCATGTCTCACCACAAGCCCGAAACAATCTTTCTTGCAACGTTTCACCATTGCCAAGAAAGGCTTCTGATATATTTCAAATGTGTATGTCTTCTCTTTCACACCTATCTAGTTATCTCCTTGTGAGACACAATATAAAAGTCAAAAGTAAAGATCCCTTTTCACGCCTTTCGGCGCATCGGGCATATGGGCAGAGCGTCCCATATTTTACAGACAATCAGCACTCTGTGGGTAATGTGGTCAGCATTACGCCGGCTGTCTTTACTTTCCCAGGACAGCCCATCCTGGTACCCATTTTAGGCTGGGTCGACCTGCGATGTCCCATACCACGACAAAATTCCACGCAGCCTGCAGTGGGTTTCGATCGCGGTATGCTGGCTTACGAGTCGGACTCGCAACGCCTTAGCCACGGACGCCGCGAGACACAATATACCCGGCCATAAATATGGTTTAATGGCTGAACGCGGTTTCTGGGACCTCTCAACGAGTGATCCTCATCTACATGGTGGCACTTTGTGTCATCGGGTGTTTATCGCTTGTGTGATGTCCTGGTGGGGTAAAAGAAGGTAGATAGATAGGTCTTGTCTTTTAAGACAAAACTTGTCCAACATGATCGCGAAAAATAACAGGTTATAATGTTCAGTATCAGAATTGGATATAGCCCCCAGAGTTGAAGTGATCCTTCATGTTTATTCTAACTGTAACAACATAAAGCAACAACAGACATCTTTTTGTAGACATTACTGTAACAACACAGAAGAAACAATACAAATAAAGTTACTTTGCTCACAAAGCTATCATTCTCACAAAATTGTGCTAATTCGATGTGTACTGAAACAATTCAGCAAGAGGTATTTTCAAAACGACGCTAATAATGAACGCGTTATGGAGGAGGAGGAGGAGAAAAAGAAACGTAAGCAGAAAAAAAAGGAAGAGGAGTAGCTGAAGATGAAAAAAAAAATAAGAAGAAGAAATCTAATGTATGCCTTTTCAACTCCGGATTTATTGTATTATTAATAATTTTTTTTATTTACACTTAAATTTTTTCTTCTACAGAAAACTATATCATACAAAAAGACAGCATCAGGAGCAAGACAACATCTCTACACAAGACTAAACCAAAAGTTCCACACAAATCAAGTCACTTTTGTAAAGTCAACACAAGCCGGAATAACAGGACAGCCGAAGAAATCATAAATGAATGTAACATTCATAAACAGAGCCCCAAAAATTACCACGGCCGGCAATATGAAAATCACACAAAGAATTTTCAGCAGAAGGCCATGGAAAATATGAACCCCGGAGCTTTCAGATGCAGTGACGAAACTATGTCTCCATCTGACACACCCAAAGACAACCGGCCTAGGACTGCAACAGACTCTAATGGTTTACCTCAAGAAAGCTCTTCTACTGAAGAAACAGCACCAAAAGTATCATCCTTTGAACAATCGGCAGTGCTTCAGTCGCAGACACATGGATACGAGACTTCTAATACCCCTTTAGACTTGTTTAACAATAGTGACTGTCAGAAAACCAGGGGATGCCTTGGAATACCTCCGAATAAGCCCAAATATTGTTCTCCTCTTGTGACCCACCGGCAGACAGTGGTGTTGCACAGTCAAAGCCTTCACACTTCACTTCCCAATATCTGCCAAAATACTAGAAAACAACCGTATCAAGTTTGCCTTACCACAGTTTCAAAGTAA